CTAAGGCACCCAGGCACTCCTAGAAAATGAAATTTTTAAAATACCCTATTTACAATAGCATAAAAAAATAAGTACCTAATAATCTGACAAAAGTTATGCACGGTGACTGCATGTAAAATGTATAAACATTTTTAGAGACACAAAAAAGAACTATCCCATGTTCATGGGTTGGAAAACTCAATATTGTAAAGATATTACTTCTCCTCGAGTTAATTTTTAAATTTAGCACAATCAGAATCTCAGTGAGATGTTCCAAAATGTTTATGGAAATGCAGAGAGCCAAAAATACCCAAGACATTTTTGAAGAACAAGCTGGGGTTTAACTTATTTACCAAATATCAAAATATAATGAAGCTTTTCTAAGTATGACCCTGTGCTCTTGGCACGGACTGAGAGAGGCAGGCTAACAGAACGGGTCAGAGACCACTGCAAAGAACCCATTCACATCTACATGGGATTCACAACAGGAGTGTCCCAGCAGAAAAGCAGGGAAAGGGCAGCCTTTACAGTTCATAGCGCTGGGACAATCGGGTTTCCATATGTTAAGAAATTAAATTAGACCCATATTTCACGGCACACATAACAATCAGCTTCAGGTAGATTATGAACGTAAGTGTGGAAGACTAGACCACAGAGCTTTTGGGGATACTATTAAAGAATGCTGGCTGCCAGGGAGCCTGCCGTGCCCATGGACTGGCTCATCTGGATTTGTCAGCGTGGTGTATTCCTAAGGCTCCTGATGAGACTGGTGAATGAGAGCCCAGCTGAAGCCAAGAAGTCAGTTCCTTCATCTTTTCCTTTGCGGCCACTGCAGCTGCTAACACACCTGCTTCCAGCCTCAAGGGAGAAGACTTCCTGTGGTTAGGAAGAGTAGCTCCTTCTTGGCCCTTCTGCTGGGAGGCCTCCGCAGGGCAGCTAGAAACCCTCTCCCAGCATCAAAGATTGCTCCATGTAAATCCACCCCTGTTTGAATCTCTCAAGTCTTGTTGAGTCCAATAGAACATTGGTAGCACTTACAGGAATAAAAGGACTCAGGATGTTAGAACTACCCAAAAGATAAGGAAAGACTTCTGAATTTGAGGGTGTAAAAATCAGTGGTTAATTGTAACAGCACTGCAGTGCTGAGAGAATTCATCATTTCTACGTCTCGGACTCTTAAAGCATGCTGCTTGGTAAACAAGTAAGTGCAAGATCCCCAAATTAAACTACTAACATGTGACAAAATGATAAAATTGTACTTTCTGTGTGAGTTCCAGACACCCACTAAAGTGGGGTCTCAAAAACAGGCAGAAAGTGTAATAGTCATTAATGTCATGTTGTGTAAGAGTTCGTATTGGTTCACATCTTTAACACTTGGTATTGTGAGACTTCGTAATTTTTGCCAGTCTGAAGGGGATATTCCACGTCACTAAGAGTGACAGCAGTCACATTTGACTTTGAGCCATTGGTCATGGTCCTGAAGAATGTCTTTGGACAGAAAGGCAGAGGTGAAGTAGCAGCATACCACTGTTCAGGGCTGTTGGATTCTTTACAGGTGCCTCCTGCGATGGCAAAGGCCTGCAGTTATGATGCTGGTGCGGTGTGCCCTGCTTACCCTGTGTTCTCACCCTGTGGTGGTTACTGCAGAATCAGGAATGCTGTATCCCGGTGCTACACCAGAGGGGAAGAAGACCGAATATCAGAGAAGTCCTGGGATTCCAGAGCTGATCTCATTCCTTCTCTGTCTGTGTTTGAATACACTGGGTTGGAATTCACACTGAAAGTGGCATCCAGGGAGGATGATTCCTTTAACTGACTTTTCTTGGTTAGTCAGACTTCACAGAGATTCCATAACCTTTATGTGAATCTTTATATATAATCTTTGTATAAACCCATTGCAGAGTAGGCAGCTGGCTTTGAATGGAGGATTCTGGATCATACCTGATGCTCTCGAGTCCACAGTCATCTGCATCACAAGTCCCCATGAATGCCTTTATTAAGCACACACAGTCCGTCTACCATCTCCTCTGCTTTGTACTAAAGAAGATGCTAAGGTGGCAGAAACTCCTGTATTCTAGCTGAAACCCTACATTCACTCCAAAAGCACATCATGAGCATTTTACATGTAAAGTTGCCAAGGCAGCATTTAAAAAAATTATCAAAAAAAGCTGTGGCTTCCTGCTCCCAAAGAATGTCTTATTCACGGTCAAGACCACAAGGAACAGTACATTCTTACTGATGTGACAGAGGAGGAGACCTAGCAGAGGTCAAATTATTATGACCAAAAAGGAAACAACTAGAATATCTCAGCTACTATTGAGAGAAAAGGAAAAGTCTGTAGGAAATGGCTGAGCACTCAACTGACAGATATGACCAAGGAAAAACAAGAAAGATGATTAGAAAGAAAAGAGTCCTCCACAGTTTCACCCTCAAATCCCTGTTCTTTATTAGAGACACTAACAGAAGACTGTATATTAGAATTACAGATCAACTTGAACGTTTGGGCAGTGCCACCCTACAGGTTATTATGAAAAAGGACTCAGTGTAGATGTCCTGTCAGGTCGTTCCAGGAAAAGTGCATTCAGTTCATCCAAAAGGAGGAATGTAAACACATAAGGGAAATGGTAAATCACTGATAGCTGGAATCAAAGGAAAAGACTCCACTAAGAGATAGCTTTACCTAATTTCTAAAGGAGCATTTTGAATGAAAAAAAGTAATATCTTCATGATTTGAGGTTGGACAAGAATTTTTTGAGCTAGGCACAAAGAATAGTAAGTACAAAAGAAAAGATTTAAATTCAACTGCATCGAACTTAAGGAACTTATGTCCATTAAGAAAAAAATAAGAGAGAACAGGCAAGCCAAGACTGCAAAATGACAAAGGACTGGTATCTAGAATAAAAAACAAAAACAAGACTACAGATCAAGGAGAGAAAGTGATAGGCAGCCTAATAGAAAAGTGTGCAAGAGACTTAAACATTTCAGGGGATCTAGAAAATGTAAACACATAACAGTTGTTCAACCTTACTGGTCATCAGAGAAACACAAAGCCACAGTGAAATACCACTATTCATCAGGTTAGTCAAAATTAAAGAGTTTGTCAGTACCAAATGTAGTGCAGATATGTAACAATATGAGTCTTATGTCTGTTGGTATGGGGGTACGTTAGTACAACTACTTCGGGAAACTATTTGGAATTATCTACTAAAGCTGAACTTATAGATACCATATGACATAGTATTTCTACTTTGAGTGATATTATCAACAGAAATACATGCACCAAGAGACACGTGTAAAAATGTTCATAGCGGCATGTTTGTAATATCTCTGGACTGAAAACAACCCAAATATCTATCAGTAAAATAAATAACAGTATATTCATACAGTGGAAAACTATAGAGCCAAGATAATAAGCTGTTGCTACATATATCAACATGGATGAATCCTACAGTGTTGAGTGAAGGAAGTAAAACACAGAAACATACTGCTGATTGCATTTATATAAAATTCATCAACAGACAAGATTTAACTTTAGTACTAAGGAATATGTATTAGTCTGCTCGAACTGCCATAGCAAAATACCATAGACTAGGGGGCTTTAAACGAGTGACATTTATTTTCTCGCCATTCCGGAGGCTGGAAGTCCAAGATGAGCATGACAGCATGGTCAGTTCCTGGTGAGACTTCCTGGCCTTTAGACGGACGGCTACCTTCTCCATGTGTGTTCACCAGACCTCTTTGTGTGTGCTTGGGAAGAGAGAGCGAGCTTTCTGGTGAATCTCCTTGTAAGGACACTAATCCTACCTATCAGAGCTCCACCCTGTGACCTCATTTATCTCTACATATAATCACATTGTATCACATTTCAGCGGAGTCACAATTCAGTCAATTGCAGGATGATAACAATGTAAAGCAAAAGAAGGAAGTGATTATGGTATTAAGGAATGTTAAGTATTGGTATAAAGCAAAGTAAGGAAGTCAGGATAGAGGTTACCTATGATGTGAGCAGAGGTAGGAGTTGGGATCGGAAGACGCCATGCTGGGAGTGTTTTGTTGTTGGATCCACATAGCTGTTCATTTTATCCATTATTTGTTAAATTGCCCATTGAAGTTTTATATGCTTTTCTGTTTGTAGCTTATACTTAATTTAAACTTTTTTTTTAAAAAGTAAAACCATTGTGTCCATTCTCATTTTCTGTTCTACAATCTGTTAACATTGGTGATCTATTTCACTTATATTACTCTGTTTTTAATAGGGATTGTGCTTAACTATTTGCCTTTTCTGGCCCCTCACAGAAATTATTTTTATATATTTTAAAAATATTAATATGGTAGATAATGGTAAATTTAAAATGTTTTAGCAATGCTCTTCTTTCTTGCGGAGTATATGTTTCCTGATATCCTGATGAATTCAGTTGAAATTATATTTTTGTCCTTGAACATTTTCCCATGTAGGTAGAGATTTCCAGCTTTGCTTGTTTCTGGCCTGCACTTTAGTAAGGTTAAATTAGGTGTTAGAAATGTATTTGGTGTATTTGGTCCTCTTAAAGATTATCTTTTATTGGTAAGAGTAAGGAAAAGAGGAGATTTTCCAAAGTGAACTATCCCCAAATATAATCAGTAAAAGAAATGCTGACTAGAACCAGAGTTCTTTATGTAGCTCTGCTTTTTTCTGGTATCACTAGTCAGTCGAGGTGGTGTAACTACTGAGATGGGACATGAATTCCTAATTTCAGCAGTCTTTCAAAAGGATTGTGAATTGCTGTCCCAGTCAGGAAGGTATCTAGGAACCTGGCGTGCTCCTCACCCTAAAAATTAACCCCAATAACTCAAGGGGACATCCTTATATTCTCCCCCAGATGGCTTGTGCAGTGAGAAGACAAGCAGATGGTGGTTCTCTTTCACAACAGATCTTTAGTCATATTCTGAAACCCCATATGTCCATACTGTATGGAAGAAACAATAAAACAGTGGGTTACCCCTTATGAAAACTTCTCATCAAAGTATGTTTTTTATTATAGATAATTCGCTCCTTTCTGCTCTTTCCAACAATTGAGCGAATAGCTGAGTCACCAAATGGCAGGATCGCCACTCCACTTCTGTGCTGGTTTCGATATGCTCTCTATGTTTTTGCCTACCTTCTACTTAAACCATGGCCTGAGAAAATCAAGTCCTTTGTGATCAGAACTGGCCTTCGAATGATGAACCTGCAGAGCGAATTTTCAGTTCTGAATATATTAGAACCATTCTGCCTTGGTAAGCACATTTTAAAATGTGTATGTTTTTCCATCTCTTTGTGTCTTCCTCACTTTCTTTCTTAAGTGTTCTATAGTTTTCAGAGTACAGATCTTTTACCTCTTTGGCTAGGTTTATTCCTAGGTATCTTGTGGTTTTTTGGTGCAATTATAAATGGGATCGATTCCTTGATTTCTCTTTCTGCTGCTTCATTATTGGTGTATAGAAATGCAAACAGACTTCTGTGCAGTGATTAAAAGAATGAAATCTTAACTGACTTGCCATTTGCAACTACATGGATGGAACTAGAGTGTATTATGTTAAGCGAAACAAGTCAGAGAAAGACAAATACCATATGATTTCACTCGTGTGGAATTGAAGAAACAAAACTGATGAACATAGGGGAAGGAAAGGAAAAATAAAAGAGAGGGAGAGAAACCATAAGAGACTCTTAACTATGGGCTAATTGGGTGATGAGCATTAAGGAGGGCACTTGATGTAATGAGCACTGGGTATTATATGTAACTGACAAAACACTAAATTCTACCAATAAAACTAATAATAATCTATGTTAACTAACTTGTATTTAAATAAAATCTAAAAAATAAAATTTAAAAATTAAAGAAAGGAAAAATAAAATGTATATGTTTATTCTAGTATCAGAAAGTGGTAAGAGAATAACCTCAGACAGTCGGTGAATATTGAGCAAGGAATTATTTGTTGGTTTCTTTCTCCCAAAAGCTTAAAAAAAAAAAAAAAGACAAAAATAGAAGGTTTAATTTTAATTTTCATCAAGCTTTAATTTTAACTTATCCTTCTGATTCTCCACCCTAGCTGTCAGATGGTGGGAAAAACTCTGTATATAGTATATATGGAATCTTTATAGGAATCCAGGGTGCACCCTGTTAGTCCAGTGTGAGAACTTAGGAGAAACCAACCAAGGAAACCAGGCCCAATATTCCTGTAGAGTGAACAGGCAGTGCTTTTATTTTCCTCTTTAAATGTTTTTGGAGGGGTTTAAATGATAAAAGTAATAAATAATAGTCATGGTAATACAACACTGGGTGTTGTGCTGATTATATTTTCTGAATGTGCCAGGAAATATTTGCTACTTTACTTTTTGGCTTCAACCTTGGTTTTTAAATGTAATCTGCCTTTTTAGTTTATAGTAATTAGAATATTTATAAATCATTTTCATAATAAAATGATCCTTTCTTAAATGAAGGGGGGGAATCAGAGGGGGAGACAAACCATGAGAGACTGTGGACTCTTGAGAAAAAAACTGAGGGTTCTAGAGGGGAGGGGGGTGGGGGATGGGTTAGCCCGGTGATGGGTATTAAAGAGGGCACTTGCTGCATGGAGCACTGGGTGTTATGCGCAAACAATGAATCATGGAACACTACATCAAAAACTAATGATGTAATATATGGTGATTAACATAACATAATAAAATTAATTAAATAGATAATCCTTTCTTAATCTATACCTCAAAAGGTTATTGTAGGATTAAATATGATAATATATGCAAAGTATCTATATAATATTTTATTTATAATAAGACTTCAGTGAATGATATAACAACAGTTGCAGCTAATGGCACTGTTCTAAGCTTTTACTTGTAGTCCTCAGAACTAATCAGGTTTGGGTATTTTACTGTCACCATTTTACAGATGAAGATACAGAGAAGTTACATGATTTGCCCAGTCATACAACTAGTGGGTAGTGTTCAAACTTTGGCAATCTACCACTATGCTAAAGCTTCCTTTTACCATAACTGCTACTATCATCTTTTTGCCCCAGTTGATCATAAAGGCAGGACTCCCGAATAAAGCTTACCATGTTCACCTGCGTTAAGAGTGCCACACTATCATGTACATAATGAATCTAGAAACAAGTCACAGCCCTGTTGTACAGCTACAGACTGGTTGTATGAGGTATTTTTTCCAAATATGTAGTAAGAAAAATATATTCTGTATTTGTAGATTTTTGTCTGTTCCATACTCTCTCCAACCCCCATTCTTTATTATAGACTTAGCATAGCAGTGGAAGAAGATGAGATAGGAAGAAGGGAAGCAGGGCTAAGGACAGTTATAAAAACCACCAATGACCAAAGTTGGAGAGGCCCCTTAAAGATGTGGTCCGGCCCCTTATCCTTCCCTCCTATTACAGAAGAGAAAGAGATGCCCTAAGTGAGAAAGGCATTGACTGCAAGTCAGAAACCTTTCCCCTGTCTGGTTCTTGGTCATTGATCAGACCAAAAGTTAGACTTGATGATTTCTAAGGACCAATACACCTTTGGAAATTATTTGAGACCAAATGGAAGTTACTTGAAATTGCAGCAAATGTATATAAAATTACTCTACATATATTTCAGTAAATCATTTTATTTCCCTAGACATAAAATAAAAATAGAAATAGGTTTAATTTTAATTTTCATCAAGCTTTAATTTTAAAACTTATCCTTCTGATTCTCCACTCTAGCTGTCAGATGGTGGGAAAAATTCTGTATATAGTATATATGGACTCTTTATAGGAATCCAGGGGGCCCCTGTTAGTCCAGTGTGAGAACTTAGGAGAAACCAGCCAAGGAAACCAGGCCCAATATTCCTCTAGAGTGAACAGGCAGTGTTTTGGTATTTTTTTTTTTTACCCTATAGAGGAGATTATAAAAACCATTTTCCAGTTAGGGACTCCATCTTCCTCCAAGGAATTCTGCTTCCAGGAAAATGGAATGGATGTACTTTTCCCTGCTTTTCCTACTAAGTACCAAAACCCCTGCATATTCAGTAACATGGAGGAAGACAAGAGAAAGAACACAAGAGAAACAAAAAATAGAACAAACAGAAAACAAATAATAAAATGGCATAGAAGCTCTAACATACCAATAATTACATTACATGTAAATGGTCAAAATACACCAATTAAAAAACAAAGATTGGCAGAGTGGATTAAAAAACATTACCTAAGTGTATGCTGTCTTCAGACATCCCAGTTCAAATATAATTATATAGGTAGATTGAAAGTAAAAGAATGGGAAAAGATATGTCATGCAAACATTAATCAAAAGGAACCAGGAATGACTGTATTAATATTAGATAAAATAGACTTCAGAGCAAAGAAAATTACGAGGGACAGAGAGGGACATTGCATAATAATAATAAAAGGTTCAGTCTACCAAGAAGACCGAAGACATAGCAATCCTAAACGTGTGTGCACCAAACAAGAGAGCTGCAAAATATATGAAGCAAAGCCAATAGAACTGAAAGGAGTAATGGACAAATCCCCAATTACAGTTGGGTACTTAAGCACACCTCTCTCAACAGTTGATAGAACAAGACAAAATTAGCAAGGATATAGAAGAATTCAGCCACAGTATCAACCAACAGGATTTAATAGACTTTTATAGAACACTTCACCCAAAACATCTGAGTTTCAGATAGGCGTTAGATAGGCAGCCACCTGTGCTTTTCTTATACCTCCTTAGAAATATTTTCTAAACCCAAACCAGGACATGGAGTATATGAAAGTTTTATTTGTTTTTCTATATATGTTTAGTGACTATGTAACACATATGACATATAGTCAAGCGTTTAATGTTTTTAACTAAAAGAGGTAATTATATAAAGGTATTTTCCAATTTTTCTACACTAGAGTTCTAAGCACCCTCTTTGAGAAGTGGGCTGATTAAGCTGCACATAAGAGAAAGGAAGCATCCATCCAGCTGTAGCAGTTGGCCTCCTGCTGTGTTTCCAGAGACCCCAAGTGCAGGCATCAAGAAACAAGATAGTTCGGACATGACACACTACCCTCCTTGGCTCAAGGCAACCAGAGCCTTCCAGCCACGTTGCTGCTTGGGGAACCCTGGGATTCCTTTTCCACACAACCACTGTAGAGTGATACTATGTACAAATTAGACTCTAGACTGAGCTCCCAGCTGCCTTGCTTCATCTCTGTGCCAAACAACCAATCTGCAAACAAACTTTTGGAGCACCGCTCTGCTATTTCTGCCATCCTTCCTTCTCTGATTTTCTATTCTCTTTGTTCTAGGTCTGGCCTTCTGATGTTCAAGTGAGCGGTACTTCAGGGGTCTTTTTCCCCGTTACCCACTCGGTCTGTGTACCTTGGGTAAAGGCAAAGCACACAAAAATTACTTGTCTTTTTTCTTTGGGTTCTTGGTTCATGGTTTACATGGGTCTTAATTAAGTCTCCTGGTAGTGACCCTAGGCTGATCCTTAACCAATCATTTCAGTCATCCTAGCCAGCCTCTTCCTACCTGTCCCCTTGGGATCCCACATCACCCTTGTCTCCTCTTGCAACAAGCACCCCGGAAACTGCCTTTGCCCGGGCTTGCCCTGGCTATCCCTTAGGTGATTCCCATTACCTTGCTTACTATAAAAGGAAGACGGTCTCAGGTGAGCAAGACCAATACTCATAAGACCTGGGCTTTTGCAAATGATTAGTGGGCTCCTGCCGAGCTTGTATCCCATGAATGGTGAAGGTAATCAGTATTCAAACCAACCCACTTGAGTCAGAAGGTATGATTTTTAGGTTACACAAAGAGAGGGCTCACCAAGGGAAAGGAAGACTGGCTCCAAGATCATTCTCAGTGGTCTGTGCCATCCGTGACATCCCCTGCAGACCTGTTTCTCCGGCTTTCCTGTCATCTAGACAGTGACCTTTAACACGCCCGCTTGACTTTTAGGAAGCCTTGCAGTGTTTGCACATTATGTAATGTCTGTGCTCCAGTAGAAATCTCACAGAAACAAACGGAGGAAGTTTGCTAGTCCAAATAGTGGATAATAAATCCTGCCCTATCTAGATAGACACTGATTTTCTGTATCCTTTAGTTTATACACATATTTTTTTGTTGTAGTAAGGTCTGAAAAATTCAAGGAACCAAAATATTCAAGTATTTCAAATGCTATTGCCGTTTTGGCAAAGAGGGCACTTCCTGTAGGCTGGGAGTCTACGCATTAGCCTTCTTCAGCAAATTGAGGGAGTGAAACATCACTTCCTACCCA